TGCGCCCCCCCCCACACATACACCACCTGTGGCGCCCCCACACAGAACGCCTGCGCCCCCCCACACACAGAACGCAGAGGATGTGCTGTCAGCGTCAGCCAGCGTGTACCTCCATCCTCCACCCCACATGCAGAACGCCTGTGCCCCCACACACACAACGCCTGTGCCCCCCCTCACACACATACACCACCTGTGGCACCCCCCACACAGAATGCCTGCGCCCGCCCCACACACCTGTGCCCTTCCACACAAATGCTTGTGCCTGCCCCCACAGAATGCCTGTGCCCCCCCACACATTGTGGCCCCCCACACACACATAGAACACCTGTGCCCCCCTCACAGAACACGTGTACCACACACACCTGTGCCCCCCACACACACACACAATGCGTGTGCCCTGTCACACGCACAGAGAAGTGGGCCCTGGTTTGGGCCAGACCCCAGGTGGCATCTCCCCAGGCCAGGTGGGCGTGGACAGTGGCTGTATGTACACCCTGGAGTACAGGTGAGGAAACTGAGGCACGGAGGGCAGAGATGCTAGGACCAGAGAGCCTGGGCAGGGCAGGGCCAGGAAGCGAGTGAGTAGAAGGGCCTCAGGCACTGATAGTGCCCCAGGGCAGCCCTGGTCAATGTGTGGCCACTCATAAGGACGTGTCCTGGACACCTGGTGGCCTGCACAGCCTGGCTCAAACTATGGAAGGCATGAGAGAGTCACATACAGGCTTGGTGGGGACTAATGAGGAGAGGGAGAGCGGTGCCCTCTCCTGCCAGCTCCACCCTGGTCTGGGGAGCGCTGGGGGACTGCCCCACCCCTGCCTCGGCCCCCTTCTCTCAACAGCCTCCCCAGCGAAGCTTGAGTGGGCAGGCCCCAGGGGCAGGGAGGCAGTTACCCAGCAAACAGGTTGTGGGTTGTGCTGCAACCACATTGGACTCTAAATGTCTCTAGTTGCCACCAGGGCTCCATTCATCTCAAAATCTGGATTCTCTCAGCGGGACCGGGGCAGCCAGAGGAGGCCTTCCCCTCTCTGGCCCCTAGCCACCTTGGGGTGGGGGTTGGGAGAACTCACCCCACCCCTGCTGGCTGGAGCCAGGCCCCAATACGGGGTCTCCCACTGTCTGATGGCGTGTCCTCTGTCACACTGACAGTACCTTCTCTCTGCATTTGTCCCCTGTCCCGGCCTCACCTGACAACTGGACCTGCCACCCCCTCCACAAGGCAGAGCAGGGCCCCAGCCCCTCTGGCCTGCCCTAGCCCTGCTGCCGGAGCTACGGACAGGACCCCTCTGCTCCCGCCACACACTCCTTCCCCAAGCCCAGAAAAGGCAGCCCTGTCTCCAGGATCCTGCCTGACCCAAGGCCTGCAGAATTCAAGGACTACAGAGATCTATGTGCTACAGCCCAGAGGGCAAAGCGCTGCCCCCACCCCCAGCTTCTGTAAGTTTTTCTGGCACACAGCCACGTGCATTCGTCCCGCAGTGCCTCCTGCTGCTTCCTCACCTCAACAGCAGCACTGAGTTGTGGAGACAGCCTCTCCGACCATAACCCCACGAATGCCACCATCTGGGGCCTGACGGGAAATGTCTGCTGACCCCTGGCGCAGTCCAACACTTACTTCGTGTCAGAGGAAGCCAGAGCCCAGACCGGCAGAGGGCCTTGGCCAAGGTCACACAGCAGCTGATGCTCTGGCCAGCGGGCGAGGGAGGGGCTCCTGGAGAACTCACCTTCCGCTCACATTCCCAGGGATGAGAGCGCAGCGTGGCCGGGAGGGGATGCAGGCCGCAGGCCCCACCCTCTACGCTGCACAGTGACCAGGTGGCCCCCTGACACCCTCCTTTACCACCTCATCCTGGGTGCCCCAATGACCTGAGAGGAGTCAGGGCGCGCAAAGCCCTCCCACACAGGGCACCGGAGCTAGGTGGGTCTGGCTCAAGCTACCCACACACTCAGCCCTCCCAGCCGCCTGCAGAACCTCAGGCAGGATGCCCGCTGGCAGACTGGGCAGGGCCAGGCCCCAGAGCATTGGCTCCCCACCCAGCCCACAACTGCTCCTGGATGTCCAGGGCAGCCCCTGGCAGCCACCACCAAGCCCACAGGGGCCACTCTCCACCAGGTGCCACAGCTCACCTCTCGTGTCCAGACTGGCCGCCCGCTGGCTAGGCTCCAGCTTCCACTTCTTGACCTTGAAGTAGGGGCTGGCCCCGTCCAGGCTGGCATGGCGGCGCAGGCGGGTGAGGAACTGCAGAACGGTACCCGTCCCGGATCCCGGGCCCACCTCCCCAGGTCCTGCTGCAGCCCCGGGCCCTCCAGCCTTGGTGCTCCTGGTACCGGCATCCAACTGGCAGGGAACAGAGATGGCGCTCAGACTAAGACCTCTTCCCGGCCCTGCGTGCTGGCCCCAGATGGCCCTAGGTTAGGAGACAGTCCCAAGGACCCCCATCACTGGGACAGAGAGGGGTACCTGCTCGGAGAGGAGCAGAGGCAGGAGGAGGGGCACTCGGTGGCTGGGTGCGCTACACAAGGGTGCTCTGCCCTCCGGGGAAGGTCCCTGGACATGGTGTTTGGAGAGAAGAGGTAGTATGTGTCTAGGAGCTTTCTCGCCCACGGCGTGGGCTGCAGGTGAGGGAGGGCAGGGGTGGTGCACCCTCTCCAGTGCCTAGGGAATGTCAGTGAGGTAGGAGCCTGGGGTGCCCCTGCGTGTAAGTACACGCCTGTGTCCGGTGTGCGGTCGGCTCCCGCTTTCTCCCGTGTGCAATGACCTGGCGGGCCAAGGAGGGCCGTGGTGGGTGGGAGGTCATAGGCTGACGGTGGTCCTGGATTGGGGGCAGGGAGGGGAAAGACCCTCCCGGGCTGTGGACACTGGGGGGGACGCGCAGGGGCCCTCACCGAGATGCCTTCCCCAGAGTCACTAGATGCTGAGGGGCTGATCTCCGCAAAGTCAGTGGCGCCCGCGGCTGAGTTGTAGGGATCACCTGGCAGGGCGGAGCTGGGGCCCACGGAGCGGCCCGTGAGGGCCTTCCCCGGGGGCTGTGGGACAGAGCCAGGTGGGGGAGGAAGCAGTGACAGGTCAAAGAGCATGGGTGGGTGAGGGGCACGGGTGGGTGAGGGGCATGCTGGGCTCGGCTCCCTGCCCTGCTCCACCCCACCTCGCCCATCCCAAGATGAGGGCCACCCCGAAAAAGAGTGAGTGAGGGCGTGGGGGCCCAGGAGTCCCTGGGGCTGCCCCCACATCCCCCGAGGAACCCCGATGGCTGCTGCCCATAGGCTCACCTGGAAGATGGCCAAGGTGGTCTTGGGAGAGGTGGCTGGGTGGGGCGTGGCAGCCGAGCTGGCCTCACCCGAGTCACACTCATGGATGGTGACAATCTTGAGGGGCGGCAGGTGCAGGTGTGTGAGCCGGGCATTCTTCAGGTGGTGGAAGTCCCCCTCCGTCAGTGTGTACCTGCGACGGTATCTGGCCGTCAGAGCCTGCCCACCTCCCATGCCTGATGCCGCAGCTGCTGCGCTCTGCCATCCACTCTGCCGGCCAAGGCCGCCCCACCGCACAGTCCCAGTTCAGGGGCCTCCGCCTTGGTCCCTGCAGCCTCTGCGCACAGCTCCTCCCCTGTCCCGAGCAGCCATGACCTCAGACAGGCCCTGGGGTACCCCCTGACGCCACCCTGCTTACCGGCGGCCCTTGTCCTGCGTCTTGCGGCTCTGCTCGAACAGCGCCGCCTCGTTGAAGGAAACCCGGCGGCCAGTGGAGCTGGTGGACAGGAAGCGCTCAGTCTCCGCATCCTGGCTCTCGGGGTCCTCCCCCCGGAAGTCGGGGTCTGCGTGAAGAGGCAGGAGAGGGTGGGCCCCGGGTGGGCCGCGCCAAGCGCCTGGTCCCGGGAGGGCTGCTCGTCGGGCAGCCGGGACGGGGGAGGGCTGGGGCCACGGCGCGGGCGGCCGGGCGGGTGGGGCGAGGGACACTCGTCCATCCGCTCACACACTCACTCGCTCAGCACGCGCCTGGGCCCACCTACGCCTGGGCGTTAAGGAAACAGAGATGAGTCGGAATCGAGCTGCGCCCAGTCTGGTGGGGGAGACAGACAGACACAGACGGTCAGGCGGCCCGAGGGGGCAGCGGGTGGCCAAGGGGCAGATGGACAGGTGGGCGCGCAGCTGGGCTGGCCAGCACCTCACCTTGGGCCGGGTGGGTGCCGTTGTCCAGATAGGTGGTGGTGGTCTTCTCCACTTCCTCCATGGCCCTGGGAGAGACATCGGGAGAGCCCAGTGGCACCAAGGGCCCAGTGAACCGCAGTGGGTCTCGGCTGTCTGCCCCAAGCCAAGGCCCTGTGCATCACCCACTCTCCAGAGGCACAGCCCACCCTGTGACTCAGAAGCCAGTGAGGTAGGTCCCCCATACCCGACTGGTGCCCACAACCACCATGCACCTGCCCAGCCGAGGTGGGGGCCTCGCACCTGTTGAGGCGCTGGTGGACGTCCCAGCAGCGCTTGCAGAGGAGCAGGACGCCGGACAACACCACCAGCGTGCCCCCCACGAATAGCGACATCACCACCACCAGCAGCACGTAGTTGTCCAGGATGGGGTCTGGCTCTGCCTGCGGGCATGCGGGGGGCGGGGGGGGTCAGGTGCTGCTGGCCTGGACGACCTCCAGCCCCTCCCACCTGTCCCCTGCACCCACCGTGGGGCGTCCAGTGGCGTTGTCCCACGACGTCGTCAGGGCTACTGTGGCAGTGGTGGTGGTGGTGGTGGTGGTGGCGGCAGCGGCGGTTGTGGCCATGGTGGCTGTGGGCTGCATTCTGAACTGGGGAGGAGGGCCCTGTAGGGAGGAGACCTGGTCAGCTCCAGCTAGGCCTGCTTCTCCTCCAGAAGCCACTGCAGACAAGCCAGGTCTTCCCTGCGGGACCGGGAGCCCACACAGGGGCCAGTGACTCATGGAGAGGCGGCAGAGCCGGAGGCAGCCTCCACCCGGCTTGGCTCTGGCGGGAGGGCCCGGGGGGCTCTCTCTGGACCTCCATCTTACATCCCCATGGCAGGGAAGGAGGCCTGGCCCTCTGAGGGTGCGCCTATGCCCATCACAACTGCACACAGCCGGTGCAGCCTGTCCTGCAAGATAACGCCAGGCCCTGGAGCTCCGCGACGGGAAGGGCAAGCACTCGGAGGAATGGGGACAACGAGGCGGTGCGGCCAGCTCCAGAGGGATCCAGACGCCCTGTCCGCCCCATCGCTACCCCCGCCCCAAGAAGTTCAGCTACACCGTGGCAGGGCCCACCCCGCCATGGTTGGGTAGAGGGAGACCTCCCGCTGCCCGCACGCGGGGGAGGGCGAAGGGGCTGGGTGCGTGTCCCCGGGTCACGACTCCCACGACTCTGGGAGGTGGAGGTCCCCCGGTGCTGAGCGCTGGTGGGAGTGCAAGGGACAAAGGAGGCGCATCTGTTCCCGGCCCCGAGAAGCTGGTTCCCATGGCGACCGCGGAGCAGGCCGCGGCTGGGGGGCGGGTTGCCAGGGAGCGGCGGGGAGGGGGCGCGGGGGCGGCAGCCTTGGGAGGGGGGGACGGCGCGGAGCCGCAAGATGGCCGCGGCCGCCACCCCGCCGTGCCCAGCCCGGGCGCCCGGAGCATCCCCGGCCACCTTATGCTCGGGGGAAACTGAGGCGGGGCGCGGCACTAGGGAAAGGAGCCCCTGGACATTGCGCGACGCAGCCGGGCGGGGAGGCCCGGGAATCGCAGGGGGTCGGGGCTGGCGCCGGGGTGCTCGGCGGCCCCAGGTCGGCACCGCACGCGCGAGGCCTCTCCCGGAGCGAGAGGAGCGCACAGGCGGCAGCCACGCCTGCCCCTCCCCGGCTTCCGCCCACACACGACAGCGGGAAACTGAGGCCCAAAGCCGGGCAGGCTCCTGGCGGGGGCTGCTGTCCTCCGCGCTCCCGGTCACAGGCTGCCCGGGCCCTAGTACTGGGGGAAGGGGCCGCATATGTAGGTCGGGAAATGAGTTCAGGCTGGAGGGGGTGGGGCACAGGCGCAGAATGGTGACCGGAGGCCGGGGAAGATGGCAGGAGGCCGAGGGGAAGAGGGGGACTCCTGGCGGAGGCGACTGCGGGAGTCGAGGGCGGAGGTTCCCCACGGGGCAGCACCGCACCCCCGAGCCGGCCAAGGGGTGGGGATGGCGAGCCAGGGGAGGCAGGGACCCGACGCCAGGGCTGAGCCGAGACGCCATCGTCCTCGCCCGACCTCACAGGGAGAAACTGAGGCTGGGGCGGGGCCTGGGCGGGGGTCCCTCTCCAGGCAGCAAGGTTGGGGGCGCAAGGCCCGGAGCTCGGTCCCCACGCCCGCCGGACTCCTCCGCGCCCTCCCTCCAGCCGTTCAGCCCACAGCCGGCTGCGACCCCCGGCCTAACCCCCGTCCGCCCCCCGCAGCCCTGGGCCCGCCGCGCCTACCTCAGCGCCGGGACGCGCGGCCCATGGGCGGCGGGCGGGCGGCGGGCGGCTGCGTGGCTCTCCCGGCTGGCTCCGGCGCCCGGTGGCCGCGGAGCAGGCGGAGAATTTATGAATGGAGAGAGCGGCGCGGGGGAGGCCGGCGCGAGAGGAGGGGCCGCGCACGTGACCGCGTTGGCGGCGCGCCCGCTCCGCGCGCCCGGTGCTGCCCCGTCCCCGGCCCGCCGCCCCCGCTGCGCTCGCCGCTGGGTCTGGCTGGCTCCGCGCCGGCCACCGCCTCCCCTTCCCTTCCGGCGGGGGCGGGGGGCGGAGCCTGCGCTCCCGGGGGCCCACTCCGCACGCGGAGCCGCCCCCCGCACCCGCCGCGGCGGCCGAGCCCCGCCCCCGGCCCATCGGCACGATTCACCTCGCCCGGTCCTGAGGTCCCAGGGACGCAGCTCGGGGTGTCCTGGAATGCACGACTCTCTGCAGCCCGAGGTGCGCCGCGTGCGCAGGAGGGGGTGGGGTCCCGGGGGACACGGACTCCCCTCTCACGTTGCTTGGTCCGTGGGGGTTCTGGGGCGGCACAGCCAGGGCCCCTCGGGCACAATTGCAGCCCAGGGTCTCTGGTTACAGGCGCCCCGCCTGCTTCCCCACGCAGGTCCCCTCTGCCACTGTGGAGGGCTCGCCATGCCCCTCCTGGCCCCTGTCCTGTGTGACAGCGATCACAGACCGGCTTAAAGCTGAGCAGAGCCCATGGGGCCCAAACGTGCGCTCACAGAGGTCTGCTTGTGGGGTGACATCAGAACGACACCTCCAAGTCCCAGAGCTGCCGCTGCTTCTCCCTCTCAGACCATCGAGCCTCACCTTCAGATACTCAGGCCACACACCTGCCACCAGCCTGGCCCAAGCGCCACCCCAGCCCCGCTGGGCCCACACCTAACACCCCACAGCCCCTGCTCTTTCTCATCCCAAAGAAAGGCTGACACCGCTGGCCTAGCTCAGCCTCCCTGCCTCTGCCCTTGCAGGTGCTCCGTACCCAGGCCTCTTTGTCCATTCAGCCAAAGATTCACCCCGGTTTCCTTCAACTCCTCCAGCTTCACAGTCTCGGCGATTCTGCTCTTGGCTCCCAGCCCATGTCCGGGTCCTCTCCTCTGTTACGTCTCTCCAAGGCCCTATGCCTTGCGCCTTGCATGTTCCTGTGTGCTGTGGGACCCGCACTCCGCTAGCTGTGAACTCCAAGGGCAGCCCTTCTCTTATGGCTGGCCCTCCAGGCAGAGGGGCAGCACCAGGGAACCTGGTGCCAGGCAGATGGGAATTGCATGGGCAAAGGTTTCGAGGCAGAAAAGTTTGCAGGTCAGCGCCTGTGGAGGAAGCAGAGAAACCATCTTGTTCCCAGCAGGACCATGACATGGGCAGGCTTCAGGGTTTTTTGTATTTTGTTTTTGCTTTTTGGAGAGACAGAGTCTCGCACTGTCACCCAGACTGGAGTGCAGTAGTGTGATCACGGCTCACTGTAACCTCCACCTCCCGGATTCAAGCAATTTTCCAGCCTCAGCCCAGAAGGTAGTTGGGACTACAGGCCCGCGCCATCATGCTCAGCTAATTTTTTGTTTTTGTTTTTGTTTTGTAGAGATGGAATCTTGCTATGTTGTCCAGGCTGGTCTCGAACTCCCGGACTCAAGAGATCCTTCTGCCTCAGTCTCCCAAAGTGTTGGGACTACAGGCGTGAGCCCCCACACCCCGCCAGGCTTCCGATGTTTAACGAAGACTCGCTATGGCTGTGTGAAGAAAAGGTACCTGTACTAAACAGGCGGAGGCTGGGGCCTGCTAGGCCAGAGACGGTAGCTGCGGTGGCCATGCCGGGTGCACAGGCCAGGACAGGGCGGAATTCCAGAGGAACCCCAGGTTTGGGGCTGGAGTAATGCCGCCCTCACCCATGGGCGACCCTGGAGTGGGGACTGGAGGGAAGTGGTTCCATGAGTGAGATTCAGTCTATTAGGCCTCCCAGCTTCCTGGAGTGGCAGCTGGATATGAGGTCCCGAGAGCCAGGAGAGGATGTGGTGCACAGGTCATGCCTAGAAAAGTGAGCGGGGCTTCCCCTCTGCACCCCCCGAACCAGGGCCAGAATGACCAGGCCCCAAGTGACCCTCACAGCTCTGGCCCGCAGGGAGGAGCCAGGCCCAACCCTTCATCCTGAGTCCGGCCAGCAGGGCCTTCTTCAGGTGCCCGGGTTCCAAAGGACAGGAGCGACCGCCACTGCACTGGCCTGAACACGGGCAGGGGGCGAGGGTGCAACCTTCGGGTGTAGGGAGCCACGGATGGTGTCGGACAGCCCCAGGCCCTCCCCAGATCCCTGCACCCCTGGGGTCCAGCAGCCCACAGCGCCAGGCACAAGGCCCTTTCCAAGGAGCCCGAGCCCCAACCCCCGCCATCCCCAACTCCGCATTTTCCCGGAGCCTAAAGAGGGGGGCTTGGGGCCCGGACGGGTGCCTCGGACCTGCGTGAGCGCGGGGGCGGGGCAGTGACGTCATGGCCGCGAGCGAGGCTGCGCGGGCCGCTGGCTGACGGCAGCGAAGCCCCAAGCCGCCCGCGCACGCGCTCCTGCGTCAGCGGCGCGCGGGGGCGAGGGCCAGGCAGGAGGTGGGGGGCGGTGAGCGCATCTCCGGGCGCGGAGCGCCCTCTGCCGGCGCCGGGGAGCAGCGCGCCGGGGTCCGGGGTTCCCAGCGAACCCTCTCGCATCGCCCGCGCTCCTGCCCGCGCTGTGCCCCTGGCGGCGGTCGCCGTTCCCTAGAACAGCGGCACCTGCAGCCTTCCACCCTGTCTCATCCTGCGCTTTCTCGACTTTTACTAATATTTATTTTTGGCATTTGTCACCACCTATCACTACTACCTGCTTATTTTTTAATTAATTAATTTATTTTTGAAACAGAGTCTTGCTCTGTCGCCCAGGCTGGAGTGCAGTGGCGCGATCTCGGCTGACTGCAACCTTCTCCCCCCGGGTTCGAGCGATCCTCCTGCCTCAGCCTCCCGAGTAGTTGGGATTACAGGCGCCCACCACCATGCTCGGCTAGTTTTTGTATATTTAGAGACGCGGTTTCGCCATGTTGACCAGGCTGGTTTCAAACTCCTGACCTCAGGTGATCCGCCCACCTCGCCCTCCAAAGTGCTAGGATTACAGGCGTGAGCCACCGCGCCCGGCCTGATCTGCTTATTAATGATCTCAAATGTTTGCTAAACGACCCCCGGCCCCAGAGCAGGATTCTCACTCTGTCGCCCAGGCTAGAGTGCAGTGGTGCAATCATAGCTCACTGCAGCCTCAACCTTCTTAGGCCCAAGCAATGCTCCCACCTCAGCCTCCCCAGTAGCTGGGACTACAGGCGTGCAACACCATGCCAAGGTAATTTTTTGATTATTTGTAGAGACAGGGTCTCCCTATGTTGCCCAGGCTGGTCTCGATCTCCTGGGGTCAAGTGGTTCTCCTGCCTCGGCCTCCCAAGGTGCTGGGATTACAGATTGGAGCCACCACACCTGGCCCAGAACAGGAATCTTGATGTTTTCTTGATGTCTATCCAGGACCCTGCATCCAATGAGCGCCCCAAAAATCTTTTTTTTTTTTTTTTTGTACAGACAGGTCGGGGGCGGGGGCGATCCACACTGTTGCCCAGACTGGTTTCCAAGCCTCAAGTGATCCTCTGGGCTCAACCTCCCAAAGCGCTGGTATTACAGGCGTGAGCCACCAGACAGCCCAATGTTGAATTTCACTGAAGCTCGTTTTACTCCCTCCACCTCCCAGGACCGTCTCACCGCCCTTAGCTGACCCCCTGCTATATAAGGGGCCAGAACAAAACTGCAACCCCCAGAATACCCCACGACGGGGCGTTGCGTCCTTAACGTCGACAACGTTGCGTGCACCCTGCTGGGAGTCGTAGTTCGCGCTTGCGCTCTTGCCAGGACTCCTCCTCCCAGACGTCCCTGCGCGGCGTCCTCCTCGCCCTCCAGGCCGCCCGCGCCGCGCCGGAGTCCGCCGCCCGCCCGCCACCCGCTTCCTGCCGCCGGTCGCTGCCATGCTGCCCGCCGC